GCCGAAGTGGCAATGTTCCAAGCGTGTAATGGGTTTAGACTCGAAATAATATTAAATTCCCTGAAATTGGATTTCTCTGCGAGTCCATGCTGATCCTGAAAAAAAAACACACCCGACACCATTTATTCTTGAGCACATATGAAACCGCCTGTCACAGGGCAGCACACCGCCCCCCTCCTACTCGACAGGGTTGAGAACGCAAATGCCAACGTAAGCACCACCAACACCACCACCAGCACCACCACGATAGTCCCGTCAGTCAACGTCTACACCCGTCACGACCACCCGCCATCACCATCAAAGAACAAAGATCCCCCGTAAAGCCTTAACAGACTGTTGGGGAAAGTGCCGTTAGCGAGCACCTATGAAGGCCGGCGCGGCACACGAAGGGGTGGGTGGTCAGCACCACGCCCGGACGCCTAGGGGGAGTTGACCTAGGGGAGACCCAAAACCGGTTCAAATAATCGTCACTGGTATTAGCTGTGTGCGGGAAGAGAACTCGGGTTCGCCGGGTTCGTGACACGGCGCGCTAACTGCTACACTACCGCTCCCCACCTCCACCACCGCCCCCACCACCACTGTTACCACCATCATGATCGGAAATTGTGCCGAACAAGACGCTATAGGGGCACTGCCGCGAAACTCCACGCAGCTAGGAGAGCAATGGCTGTTTAATCACGCCCGTGGGTTGGAGCCGAAGTGCTCCTTGCCTCATCCTTTTGCCGCAGAGCTGAAATTTACCTCGGTTGACTTCCGCTAATGGAGGCAGCGATTCCTCAGGGACACAACTTGAGATGCAACACAGCGGGAGTCAATCGCATCGCTCCAACACGTGCCTGTGTGTGCGGTTGTTCAGCCGGCAGCCTTCCCGGGCAGCAATAACAACAACAACAAACAATATTAACGCTGTTGCGGTAACAACACGAATGCTGTTGTCGCGGTAGAGGCTCGAGTTTCATGTTGTGCTTGAGAGCGCCTCGCTGTGATGGCGACGGCACGAGACGTGTGTTCGTCAGGCATCAGGCAAAAGTTTGCGCACTGCTTCATTGCACGGAATTGCTTTGACACATCTCATGCATCTCGGGTTATCTTGTGAGTTCATACATACATCCATATCTATACTGTGTATGTATATAAATATGTCCATAGGATTGCATATAGGCATACAAAGTTCACAAAGAATATCGAGTTAAATATTCAGTCTCGATGAGACGCGGGCTTAGCTCGTATTTTCACGATGTTAAATAATAATAATAAAAAAATGTGTTTCAAATAGGATAACGCCCTGTCGGTACGTAATATACGTTTTTGAGAGAGTCCATAAGATGCACCCTGAATTTGCGTCTGAGATTCTGTTTTTGGACTTTTCGCGTTCGCGAGCCAGAATCCACGTGGGTTTGCTCACGGAGCCCAGAGAGGGCCCAGCTGCGTTGTCACAGGAAGACATCGACGCAGCTCTCCTCCAACGACAGAGTCGAACATTCATTACACCCGCACCGACCAGGTCGGTGAGGTATTGTCTACGTCTGGTCATAGAGTGCTCGTTATTGCTTTGCCAATTGTTTGAGCCATGAACGCCTCTCCACGAGCCCCACAAAGAGTTTTCGAGAAGCGACCTGCATTACTCGGGTGCTGGGCCAATGTAATTTATAACGCGTGTTTGGTTTTGAGCGAGAGGAATAGTTTGCGTGTCGGAAGTTTTTTCTTTGCTTTCTGTGATTTCCCCCCATTGTATCGCGCTACCTGCGGCGTACCAAGACGCCGCAACGAACCCATCACTGACGAAGGAACCATTACCATCATTGAACACATTCGATTCTCCGTCTCATCGCAGCACAGTTGCAAATGGGCGTTTTTAAATTTGAGTCATTTTCGGAATAAAAATGCAGCCAAAAAAAATTAAGCGCAAGACCAAATACATCCCACGGCGTTTTTATTTTATTTTGTACGCTGCCAATGATGATCCTGCAAGCTGATAGCATCATCTCGCTCCAGTAACACCACGGGCGGCTGGAACCCGTATGACGATCCCGGCGCTCCGACCTCTTAGCCGAGCGGCCACCTCGCGCTGCCTGCAGCTTAGAGGCACAACGCGAGCCGCGAGTTCTTATCGACTGCACCGCGTCTGCCACCTCGGACCAAAGCCCTCTTTAGATATGGCAGCCGCTCCGGGCCGGATGAACTGCAAATTAATTGCACAAAGCATCACGCGCAGCGCGCGCGTCCACTCCACGCCATCCGCACACTGGCGCGTTCGTTCTGCCCGCGCTTCGTTCTCCCCAAAAAAGAATGAGAGAGGAAGAATAAGAAATAAGAATTATACGTGCATCATAATCTCCAATTAAACTATCACGGAGCGGCGCTGCCTATTTCCGTCGCCAACCTGCCATTCACGCGAGCGCTGGATTCAACGCCTTGTCATCCGCTCGCCGTGTCGAAGCTAAGCCGAAGAGCTCTCGGCTTTCACGTAAATAAATTGCTAAGATATGAATAACGCGTGCGCGTTCAAGGAGCCCGTGCGAATCACCGCGCTTGCACCAGCGGGTGCCGGGGCTGCCACGTGCCTCGCGCGCGGTGCGCCACGTGCGCGACCCAAGGCAATTTGTGCCCGAAGGTCTCCTTCTGCGTAACTCGAGGCGGCGTCGGTGTCACCGCGCGTGGCACGAGGCCGGCCGATTTATCTCCGAGGCAGGACGGTGGATCGTTACGGGGGAAATGGGGAACTCAACGAAAAAAAAAACATAAGCGGCTCTTATCTTGTAAGGTGCACACCTTAGGGCTCCGAGTCCCCTCCCCCGCCGCCCTCCCCGCATGGTTGAGATTCGTTGGGAATTAAAGATGAGACGGAGAGCACCGTTCAGGTTCAAAGGTGCCGCGTTATGCTGATCCGTTGTGTGATTTTGAAACCATTTTTTTTCCGTCACGTGTCGAGATATTGTAAACCACTGAGCGGATAAGCAGCGCAGGAGCGGAATTAATAGAATTCTCCTGAACAAGAGGTGAAATGTTTTCGTCAATTGAACCTCGTCGGAATAAACTTGCGAACTTCATGAGCTTCCAAATGGCAAATCGGTAATTGAAATCGGAGGAGCACTCTAAGTGGCCGATAACACCTTCATCTATAGATGAACGCAGACCTTGGGGGTGGGGGGAGGGGTTGGAATTTAGCGCCAGCTTACCGCGGGGCTATTATTGGGGCAAGTGCTGTTAGCGAGCGCCTATGAAGGCCGGCACGGCACACGAGGGGGTGCTTGGCCAGCATCACGCCAGGCCGCCTTTGTCTCCCTAGTGGTGATATTTATACACGCTACCAGGTACTCATTTGAGGCTGAGTCGACCTAGGGGAGGCCCAGTAATGGTTCAGATTTTCGTTACTGGTGGTTGCCCGTGAGCGCAAATTGAAGTCGGGTCGCTAACCATTGCACTACCGCTCCACGCGCAATTGTATTCGCCCGCGTGTGCACGCACACACACCCGCTACAATCACACGCACGTGCTACGAGGATCCACGCGCACACACGCTCGCGTGCACACGCGTACGCACTTGCACACGCGTACATGCGTACATTCAAAATGCAAGTACAGCCCACACACGTGCACACACGCGTGCGCGCACGGGTACACACGCCGAGGGCGCGCGTGCCTAATGAGCTGTATTCTCACGCGTTAGCTCGAGGCGCTATTTTGGTCGCCGTTTCCAAGAGACAGCCGTGTTGGGGGTGGTGGCTGTGGGGGAGATGGGGGGGGCGCTGCGTGGGATTTGGGAGGGGGGGGCGGAGGGGGGCAGAGGGAGCGGCAAGGCTCGAGGTGGGAGGTGAGAGAGAGGAGGCGGTTCCAATCGTCCCCCCTTCCTCCAAGGCGTCCCGCCCGCCTCCCTCTGCCAGGTGTCGCTCAGAAGCTCGACTCGATCGCCGCGTCCGATGCGGGCGGCGCAGCGTCGCGACGGTTGGTGCCGAGTGGCCACGTTGCCCGTGCTCGTCAGGGACCCGCTTCAGCCGCACCCCCTCCCACGCCGTGGCTCTGAGTAGACGCGAAACCATGAAGGAGCGGGCCTGAAGGTCAGAGCCGGGGATTCCTCTCGCGATGGTGAACCGCGCACGAGTAATCGCTGCGACAGAGCGTGAATAATCACCCCTCCGGATACTTAGGCGTAACTAAGTACGCGCCTCTCGCGGGACACCGCCAGTAGTGACACAGTGCTGTGTTGCTCTCGTGTACGACGGGAATACCAGGTGCTGTAGGGCCTCGGGGCTACCCGGTGACCACAGCAGATGGCGGTTGCAGCGAAACCCCATAAATTGCACTGTATGTATATGCTCCCACGTGCACGCTCCCACGCGTTCGCCTTTAGAGAGCCCTATGCACCAGGTTGGGTGAGGTATGGTCAAATAACTCGCCCGACACCTTCGACCCGCACGTTGCTTGCCTCGTCTTTATCTCATGACAGAGGCTCTGGCTCACTGAGGTGGTGGGGAGCGGGGGCGGGGGTGAAGGCGAGTAGGGGGGCCGCTCAGTGGATCCATAAACTGGGGGGGGGGGTCTCTTCGTACCAAGAGCGGTAAGACGAGTTAATAATGATGATCATTGTGCAGAGCGGACTGGGTTCCTCGCATTCGCACCTTCGGTCAGCACGGTTGGCCACGTACGGTGCGAAAGAAGTTCAACGTGCATAAATCCACGCGTGGAGGTGGGATAACGAGGTCTCTGTGAAGAGGCACAAGCAGACCCACCCCCTTCGCACCAACCTGATGGACGCATTTTCTTCATCCTGCAGGGCGCCCTGCCCGCTGATGCGTGCTGCGAGCTGGCACGTTGCCCCAACAATCTGTTACGGGCTATAGGGGGGAGGAGTGGGGGGAATCGTTGTTTTTGTCGTCGTGAGGGCGCGCATCGCGCGAGTGTGCACGGGACAGCGCGCGCCGCACGCGCTCGCTCGCAAGTCAACCGCGTGGCCGCGTTGTGTCACGAGCCGAGCGGCAATCAAGGCGATTACAGAGAAGTTTCTCCACGCACAAATTTTATTCGCTCGTTTGCGAGATCGTTACGGACACCACTCGCGACGCCAAAAAAACAGATCCATCATGCGCATGCGCAACGCGCGTCCGTACCGCGCGCGCACGAGACGAAGATCCCCCCCCCCCCCGTGTAGCCTTCAACAGACTGTTGGGGCGAGTGCTGTTAACGATCACTTATGAAGGCCGGCACGGCACACGAGGGGGTGGGTGGGCCAGCACCACGCCCTACCGCCTTTGTCTCCTGAGTGCTGATATTTACACACCGCACCAGGTACTCATTATTCAATCTTGAGTCGACCTTGGGGGAGGCCCAGGACCGGTTTAAATATTCCCCACTGTTCTTGGTTTGTGACTGGGAATCGAACGCCGGTGAACGAGTTCATATCGAAGTGCTCTAACCACTGCGCGCACACAAACACGCATTCACGTAAGACGCGTACACACGCAACTCCCACGAACACTTGACGCGTCGAATTTTACGCATGACGCAGATAAAGGGGGGGGGGGCAAAAACCGTTTAACTCGCACCGCTAAGGCGAGTTTGGAATGCACATCGCCTCCAGCCACACGCGCACACGCGCGCGATCGCTCGAGTCTCGCGTTGTCGCGACAGCTGTTGTCGCGACAGCCGTTGTCGCGCTTAGATCTTCACGTGCCAGGCGCGCTCTGCTCGGCACCGTGGACACGCATCCTCGCTTCTTCCGTGTCGAGTCGCGCTCTTCACGAGGACGATCGCTTCTTCTGCTCGGCGGCACTGCGAGACGAGATTGCGCAACCACCTGCTGCTTAGCCGCACTCAAGAAGAGGGGGGGGTGAGGGGGGTCAGGGGGAGAGGGTGAGGGGCTCCACGTACGCACCCCCCCCAACCCACACACCTCGTGTCATGCTCCACCTTCTGCGGCCAAACGACCCCCACCCCTCCGGCGGGTTAAGTCCTCACGATGACCGCCTCCACGTCCTTGGAGTGGCGCCGCTCCCGCACGAGAAGGTTGACCATGCCCTCCGACTTGACGAGCAGGTTGCACCCGATGAAGAAGACGCCGAACACCACCGTCAGCGACAGCACGCACATCACGGCGATCTGGGTCAGGCGGAACATGTAGAGGCGGCCCGCGTCTGCGAGGGGGCCGAGGGGACCGCCTCCGTCTCCTGCGGCTGGCGGCACCTGCCCGCCCGCCGTCGCGTTCTCTAAGCAGCACAGAGTGGAGCCCAGTCGCACCGCGGTGCCGTTGCCGTCCGCCGCGCTGGACGAGTTCGCGAGAGCGGCCGAGAACACGGCGATGTCCAGAAAATCGGAGACGTTCATGGTGTCCGCCGGGTTGAGGGTGACCGTTGGTTTTGAGATGGACGGGGTGAGGGGCGGGGGGGTAGAGAGATTGAGGCGCGTACCGCCGGCAGAGGAGGCGAGCGGATCCTCAGCGAGCGGAGCCCTCTGGGCGAATCAGCCCGGGGAGTTCTTGAGGGCTGCGGGTGACGAGGACGCGCGTCGAGGCACCCTCCCAGGAGCGCATGGCACTCGGACAGAGTCTCCGAGCTCCGGCAAGAGATCGGACGGAGCGAGAGGAGAAAATGGGAGGGGAGCGATGGATATATAAAGGTGGGGGGGGGGGAGCGGGGGGCTGGGAGGGGAGTAGCTGGAGCAGGAGGGGCAGAGTCGTGGTTGGCAGCCTCTGCGGTAGCTGGAGCACTCTCTTGGCGTCGCGGCTTTTATACAAGCCCCGCGTCACCACGGACTCTCACCCCCTCTCCTCCTGCTCCTCCTGCTCCTCCTGCTGCTGCTCGCCCGTGATGACGAGCCGTGTTGCGCAGAGCTCGCGGGCTGAAGCGGGGGCGTGCGTCCACGCCCGTGTACAGCTACCCGCACGTGTGCGCCAATGTAGGCTCGCTGACGATTTATTGCGGCTGAACAGATGTCCCCACGCAGCAAGATTGGTGAGAAACAATTTAATTTTCTGTTTTTTTTTTAATGGCAAACGACTCTCGTGGAGATGGAGTGAACAAGAAACCGACTACTGTCACGAGGACACTTTGCTTTCGTCGCTATTTGCGTTTGAGATGCACGATGTACGCCTGCACTCCACCAAAAAACACCACCGCCTCGGCGTTACAGGTCATGCGCATCCGTAATTACAGCGCCCGCTCGTGACTGTGATTTCACAAGGCTGGCCGTTCTCGTCTTGAAATAAACACGCGGGGGGAGGGGGGTGCGATAGATGTGGGGGTGGGTGGGTGGGTGGGGGGTAGTGGTTAACACATGGGAGGGTGAGGAGCTGCGCGCGTTGGTTATGGGAAGTGGGGCAGTACGCGTGCACGACACGCGCACTGCCACGATCCTCGCCTTGTCTACCCGTGACGTGGGTAGGATCGTAAGAGAGCGGTGCCGTGATAATAATAATAATATATATCGGTGGAGGTGAATGGAGATCATGTACGGGTTACTGAGTTTTCAATCATCCGTTTTTTGGGGGGTTATGATAATAACCGATATTTTTAGAGTCAAAACGGAATGGGAAATTGACGCGACGGATCAAACAAATGACAGCGATATTAAATTTCGATTTAAAGCTTTCGTGACTGCAAGGATTCATCTTCTTTGGTTCTTTCGGTAAAGTCACGTAGAATGAGAATAAAATAATAAATTGATAAAATAAAATAACACAATGATATTCTCACGACGTTTCGGCCACAACACAAGCGGCCTTCATCAGGTGAAGGGACGAGACTGTCTGTCCTCCAAGAATATCGCTGTCTTCTTTGGTTCTTTCGGTAAAGAATATGAATTCCTGCAGTCACGAAAGCTTTAAGTCAAGATTCAAATGATAGCTACTTCACCAAAATTATCCCCCGTCCCATAATTGTGTTAAGCAAATTAATTTGGGATGCAACGACTGCAAATGAGATAATATTCATTTATGTATTCATCCATTTATTTCGTGCGAGCAGATCATGGTCTCAAACTCGTGACTGGAAACCCACCGAGACCATTTCAAAAGGTTGTGCAACACAGCCAAACGTGTCCACACGTTTGGAGCTCATTCGTGCATCCACTGATGGATGAGCCCACCCCCCCCCCCCCCCACACACACACCGTGCGTGTCGTGGGTGTTTTGTTGGGCCATACTTCACCACGCCGGTCAAGTGTTGATTGGAGACGGGGAATATACATGTTGGAGCATAGTAATAATTAAACATGTCATCGTTAACGTCGCTTTACAATCTATGCACACACTGTACTATGTATTTAGCGTATGCTATTACACGTGACTGTCATACCGTTCGAGCGCCAGATATGCAAAACAAATGTTTGTCAATGTTATATATTTGTATTGTGTGAGTGGACGTCAGCCCACGGTGTAGCCACAGCGCCTTGAGACAGCCTCCACCAGCACGTGGCAGGAAACAAAGCAGTCCGCCTGGCACGCCGGAGACCGTGTGCGTCAACAGTCTCCTGCTCTATACTGTACTGTGGTGGCCTGACGTTTTGGGCAACGACCCTTCTACAGACCAAGGGGATGGAGGGGGCATGTACTTCTCTCGTCGGTACGCTCGTGGGTTTTTTTTTGTATCTTCCAAACCTGGATTGGTTACGCCACCTAGCGGCGAAGCCTCCTCCTCCTGCTCGCAGTCTCCAGAGTTTACCGCAAGAGCAGTCCCACCGCCGACGTCCTCACCCTCGATGGAGAAAATGGCTTTTGGACAGGGTGGAGTGGGCCTTCCTCTTCCGTAGAAATATCTATGTTGAACTTCTTTCGCACCGTACGTAGCCAACTGTGCTAGTCGGAGGTGCGCGCGGGGGGGGGGGGTACAACAAACTAATCCCAAAACAGCAGGTGTCTCATGAAATTAGTTTTCAATCTGCACGGCGCAGGGATGCGGCGAGTATCACAAATAGAACGGCCACTCGCGCCGTGCTCGCGTGTGGTGCAACAGAAGGGAGACTACAAATCAGGGAAGGAATTGTGGGACAAGGGCCAGGGAAGGGAGGGCATCAGGCCGTAAGTTGGAAAGTGGTTCGTGTAAGTTGGGCAACCTGGGGGGTACGCTTACACAGCAGGGTCCTGAAACTCGCAGAGACCACATTTGAAGCTCTGTCGTCCCGACAGGTTTGTTCCTTTCACCTGAAGAAGGCCACTTGTGTTGTGGCCGAAAAGTGGTGAGAATTTTATTGTTATTTTATTATTTTATTCTCATTATACGTGACTTTACCGAAAGAACCAAAGAAGATGAATCCTTGCAGTCACGAAAGCTTTAAATCGAAATTTAGACCACTCGAAGTGAGTGGTTCTTCTCAACCTGGGGGTGCAAGATGCCCTTTCTGGGGGTAGCGAGACATGGCCAGATTTGTTTTAGAAGGTAAAGCACCTAACAACTCCTTTGTTTCATCAAGCCCTATGTATGTATTCATATTATTTTTATTACACGCTTTTATTTAACTGTCTGTTGTTGTCGTTGTATCCTCAAATCTTGTAAGTCAATTTTAACCCACTTGCCAATGTGGTATCGACTGCAAACTCGGTATACTTATGTCATACTGATGACAATACTATATTCTAACATTAAATATATATATAACATTTTAAAACATTCTTTTTTATATGTTATGTTTCGGCTTGGGTCTAATTGTCCACACTCAACTGACGTTGGCTGTAATTAGCCACGGCCCCCTTACGTTATGGCAAGTTTCGGGGCCACTTCCAGGAGTCGTGGAGTTCTGCCATTACGAGTACGGTACATTTCATTAAAGCGTGTCTTTAAAAATTTTTTTTTTAAATATAACTTATTTTAATACGATTGAGAACCAAAGAGGTGCAAGGCTGCAGCCAAGGTTACGAACCACTGCTCGAAGTGGATTGCGTGGAATCGGTGTCCTGTTTCAGATTCGAATCTTTTTGTTGTGTCCCAGCTGCGCTCTGCACGACCTCTATCACGACACCCGCTCTTCGTGCCCGCAAGGATGATTGGGGGGGGGGGGTTCAAGGCCACTCTGTTGTACAGCGCTTCGTTCGTCCTATCGATTCTTCAAACAACTTCAAATCAATAGAATACACAACACGGTATAGTTGTTGTTGTTGTTGTCGGACTGTAATTTCCCAGACCAGTTGGGGCATCCGGACTCTGAAATCGTCCCGCTGGTCTCCCCTTCCGCTTCGCTCGCCTCCTCCTCTCGATCTCCCACTCCGTGGTTAATTTTCTTCTCCCCATCCCTCGCGCGCGATGTTCTTCTTCCCGTCACGCGGCCTGCCCATTCTACACTTGATTTATTTTGGGGGGAAAAAAAGCAACGGCACACATTCGGGCATAAATCTTCTTCTCCTCCTTCTCCTTCCTTCCTCTGCTCCTTCCTTCTTCCTAATCCTTCTCCTCCTTCTTCCACCGTGACACGACATTCGCGGGACGCATTCACCAGGGGGCGGGGGGTGTGCGTGCGGGCGCACCTGCGTCTCGTGGAGATTTGCCGTCCCCGCTGCTACCCCACGCATCTCCCACGAGGTGGCGCGGCTCCCACACAACAAAGTATTATTATTCATCTTCCAGGAAAGCCTCCACTGCTGTCTCGAGAGACTATGGTGGCAGGACGGTCCTGCATCGGTATGTTTGGCCACTGCCATGAGTTAGGTCAACCTCGTCATTATTACTCATCAGGAATGATCGATCCACTGCCGGGTGTAAACAGCTTCAGAAAAAAAACTTCATTAAAAAAAATACAACGATTTTTTTTTATTTTACCAGGTAAAGCCCACTGAGCTATCTAGCGCTTTTTCAGAAGCGACCTGGCCACTAATGATAGCTCAACGAACATGGCTTATCCAGTGGACATTTATAGCAGGCAATTACACTAAATGTGTAGGGGGGAAAAAAAATCGGAGGACCCGGAGAAAAGTCCCCGCGACGGCGGGGAGAGAGACACGCAAACTCCAAATATACAGCAGCAGGCGTCAGGGTCGGGATCGAACCCACGACCTCCTGCATACCAAGCAAGGGAGATAACATCTCCTAGCCACCGTGCCTCCAACTAATCTGTCACCATCTCTCGCGGTGACAGGCCCTGCCCAAGCCCACCATATGTTCCTCAACAGCCAACACGACGCCTCGAATTCACGTGTTCCACATTTAAGCCAAATCGTGACCGAGGATAACCTCAATGAGTCTCACGGCCCTTTTCTCGGGTCGTGCGTGTGCACGTGCGGTCACTTCCATTAAGGAGGCCATCATCATAACCATTATTAGCCAGGATATATCCACTGCTGGATGAATGGTTCCCCGCGCGATGCAGTGACCTTATTAGTTCGATGGCCAGCCGAAAGCCGCTGCTGCGACGATGACCGAAGTTCGCGTGATGGTTTATGCTCCTTGGCGAGATCAGCGAGGTGTCGTGGTTCAGATCGTGCGCACAGGGAGTCATTTGGTCGTAGGTTGCCGCGGCTGTGTCGGGGTGAGTAACCTTGCGTCCCCTCTGAGCGCCGATCGATGGCATCGCTGCGTCTTGAACTCGGGAGGCTCCCACTGCTTTGCCGCTGCACTAAACGGGGCCGCCCTCTGGAGGTGCAGTCTCCAGGACACAGTCGCGCCCTCCCCTGCTAGCGATCGATGAGGGCCGCGGGGAACCAGGTTAGCTCCCTGCGACCTCGGCGACAGAGTTTTGCTTCGAAAGTGTCACCCACCGCCAAATTACCACGAATTATCCCCCGCCACCTGCCCCCCCCCCACCCCCCGATTCTCTTGGCATCGCGGCAGCTAAAGCGACGATTGATCCGGGTTGTTAGGTGGATTGGAGGTCTGCCTGGAAATGCCAGGTGTACCCCTAGGCGTGTTGATTCATAACGCAACAAATATATACGAGCGTGGTGCCATAGGTGCACGCGTTGTTGTTGCTGTTGCCGGCAACACCGCACGCGCTCTGCCCGGCCACTGGTGCAGGTCACTGCGTGGCCGCTTCCCCCATTAGCGAGCGCCGACTGCTCACACTCGGATGCGCTTGAGTTACGCGACGATGGGTGGTGGTGGTGGTGGGGGGTCTTGGTATAAAACAAAATCAGCAACAACCTGGAGAGGCAGTCCGTTAAGTGAGCCTTCTGTTTTGTTCTTTTGATGCGAAGGTTTGAGTGTGCAGAGAAACGTGTGCCGCGCAAACAGGCGCGCAACGCAATCCCATCGCACTATTAATAC